TTGCTCGCTGAGTTTTATTTTTTGAATATTGGAATAACATAATTATATCGTAACACATAAAAAAAATAACAAAAAGAGTTTGTCGGATAACTGATTTTAAAGGCATTAACTAATAAAAAAATATTTCGCACATGTGCGTTATCACGCGCAAATACGGAACTCTAAGATCATTTCAAGAATCATCTCTTATATGTACGTACATATGTACTTATAATTTTAGCATTTTCGATTAGCCAACAAAATCGAACTTTCGTTGGCAATGTCACAATCAACTTTGCTGTCATTTTTTGAGCACAAAAATAAACCTATTCTTTAGTTGGTTAAAATGTGTATAGAAATTGGATATTATTGACGGGCAAGGATAACTTTAAAGATAAATAATTCGATTTTATATAATTTTTTTTTTTTAAAAGAACATGTAATACTTCATAATTGCATCAGCCCTACTGTTTAATGAATCGTCATATCATAAGATAAACATTTAATATTGTTAAATAAGTGATTGGAACTGAATTCATCTGAAACCGGTGGGTTCAACTCTGTTAAAATTTTTGGAATATTTTATTACATTTCATGTCGGACCGTGTATATATGTCTTACAAATATTTGAACTGAGTTGCAAATATCAAGTTCATAGATAAAAAAATAGGCGAGTAGATACGATGAAGATTTGATATGTAGATACTATAGTGCTTGGAAAAATTAATAAATATGCTCAAAATTTTATGCCAATGTCATGCATCATCTGCATGACCCTTCGTTGCTTACCCTAATTCCTCGTTGGATATTCATTAGAATAACCTACCGTAAGTCACACAAGATATCCAAACAATCGACTTTGAACAGGTTCCTTCATCAGCCTTATTGTTTGTTGCGCACTTGCATACGTATTAGGATCATTAAGTATTATTATAGGCCTTACAAAATATCTAGATTGATTTAAAATAGAGTTTGATGACAAATATATGAGTATATAATATATATATATATATATATATATCGCACATTAAGAATTTAAAGCCTACAAGAAATCATAAATTTGTTCTAAGGCAAGTGTTGTGTCTCCGCAATTCACTAACTCCATATTTAAGGTCACATTATTCAATACTTGAATGATGTGCAATATATACTATTCATAAAAAAAAAAAAGAAATGAAAAAGTGGTGTTAAATGACCTCTGGAAATGAAATAAAATCAAAAGATTTACAAATGAATATTCAATTACGCTCGTTAAAACCAATATGCGATTTTCCAACAATCTATGTATCACAGGCCCAACTAAAGCACACAAATATAGTATTTGCACATCTGTATTAATATCACCAACAGTTAAAAGTCTGTGAAGAAGTATTTGTATATCATCAATATTAGAGTAATGCAATAAGCTATGTATAAATGTGAGAAGACTGTTTGCAACGGTTGTGCCAAAGTTATGAAGATTAGACGCATATTCATTGAAAATATAGGGAAACATTGCCGAAAAAGCCCGTGTTGAAGGAAGAAATGGCCATGGTTGTAATGGATCTGATTGGTATGATGCATGGTCTAAATATGATAATGATGGTTGAGATTGCTCGCGTTGAATCTATTGTTTAAAAATTAAATATAAACATTTCATATAAATGCTTGAACAAAAAAAATATATGTGTAATTACCAAATTAAAAGGTTGTGAGAATTCTTTCAGATGAGGATCTGTGGTGATAATTAACACCACCTTATCAAATATCTGATATACGAAATCTTCAGTAGGCAAGAAAGAGTACAACAAGCCCATAGCATGCATGACCATAGGTTGGACAGACATATTCTTACGTCCATTCATAGAAGTTATAATATCCAACGAGTCTTTCACAATTTGATCAGGCGGTATTGGCGTTGCAAGCACTTCTATACAAGCTATATGGAGTGCCTGTACTACAGGATTTGGAATCTCCCGAAAGTGACGTTCTGGAAGTTTGTCATCGGTTTTGAGGGCACATGTATCTGGAGACATCACTATTATGTTTGAGAATGTGAATTAATAATCAATGAATTATAATAATATTATTATTATTATGAAATAAATAAATCTTACAATCGGCTAATTTTCGGAAAATTTTTTCAAAGTAGGTAACGTCAAAAAGCTCTTCTAAAAATCCGTCATTTCCGGATCCATATTGTAATAACTGAGAGTCAATGTCGTATTCATCGAAGTCTGTTTTTGAATAAATGATAGGTGAGACTAAATAAATGTATAGCAGACTTTACATAACTACCCAACAATCTTTAAATTTTAAACTTAATACAAGTTCATTATATATATAACTGGCTATTTATGTGCATTTATAGCAGGAGTGTTAGACAATTCAAGTGAACTCAGTTCATACCAAGTTTCAGACGTGAAATTCGGCTAGCTCGGTTTATCTCGAGTTGAACTGATAAAGACCGAATTTCAAGTACTTGGCCTAGACTAAACTCAAACTTAATTCAGACTGAATTTTAACCAATTCGATTCTATTTTTAAATTAATTAAAATGGATCGGACGAACTACTAATATATGCGGGCAACTAAAAGTCTCTCTACGCTTGAACTCTCAGCCAGATAATTATATATACATTACTCACCAAGTAATTTGATTAATCTCGTTGAAATAGATTGGTCCCTCAATGCTGGAGCAGAATAATAATAATGCAAAAGATCCCTAACGAAAGCAAGAGGTGTCTGATGATATCTATAAAGTTGCCTATATTTATCAAGCAGCTTAGCAAGCATTTCTTGCTGTCCGAATTCAATCAATCTGCCAATTACTATGTCGAGTATTGGTAATGATCTTCGAATAGCTGTTGTATAATAAATCGGCATATTTGTTACCAATGGTGGCTCCAAAGGTTTATTCACAGTTTCATAACCATCCATTGCAAATGCCTCATATTGAAAATATTCAGGATATTTTTCAAGATATTTGGTTAATTTATCATGATGATCATCCTCAGTCCAATATCGATGAGAAAATTTCAAGAATATAAAATATTCAACCCTTCCTGAAAACTCTTCAGATTTAAACAATAAATAATCTAGGATTCCAATTGCTGTTGTATTAACCTCACTATGCCCTTTGACAAGCGCGAAAAGAACATGTTCAAAAGCAAGAATTTGATACTTCCATATCAATTCATCAAGCATTTTGTAGCACTTTAATATATATAACAATTTTGATATTAAAAAGTATAATTCCAATATAAAAAAAGAAAAAAAGGAAATAAAAAACACATCTCACCACTTCCACTGGTGATCCATTGCCGCTAGGATCACGTTCTATCATTTCAATGATAAAGTCAATTAGTGTCATGGTATAAGTTGCCATTCTGGAAGGAGGAAATTGTAGTAAAACTTTTCTCAGAGCTTAATAATAAAATTGGATTCCAATAAGCACATAAAATAAACTAATAAAGTAGAGTTGATATATATATATATATGTATGTAATATTTACTATTCATCATATCTGGATTTAAAATTTTTCTACCACAGCCAATTTTCCAAAGAGAGCATAAGAATATTGGTTGATTTTCAAGTTTAGAGTAATGTTCTTGAAGAGTCGCCTCGTCCTCCGAATTAAGAGCCTGATCCATAAACAGTTTGAAAAGGTTTCCAACCTGCAAAGCGGTATTCATCTATATACGTATAGCAATAATATAAAAAGTTTATAGATTTGGAGATTGTAATAAATAACATAAAACCCGCATTGGAACATTTATACATACATCTTTATCCGTAAAAGAGACAGAAGAAACAGTCATTCCCATTGCCATTTGTTGAGCTGCAAGTTGCGTTCTCAACGGTTCTGGGAAAAAGCTTAATGTTGTGTCTGACCACTGAATCGGATGTGGATAAATTTCTAGAATGAAATTAATCATATCCGGGACGTCACCAACACCTCTAAAATAAACTATGATGTAGTGATCAATTATATTAAAAAAAAACAGTGCAGATCTTGCTAAAAAATAAATAATGTTACCTTAGCTTTATCAGACGTGCCATGGTATATATCATATATCTTGCCAGTAGTTCAGATTCTGGAAACCAGATTTGCTTTTCTCGGTTTGAATCAGACAAAGATTTAATAAACTTGACGTCGGTTTGCATCATCTACATGAAAACATCAATAATAAAATTTTAACTATTATGTTTTGAATGATTGAAGCCAGAAATAGAATTATAACCACCATGATATGCAAAGCAAACAATTCTGCATCACGGTATGTTTGTCTATGTTCTAAAGAAGAAACAGAATACTTTATATAGTGTAATAAATCAGGAGCCTTTGCAGAATGTTTCAAAAATCTTTTTTTAAAAAAAAAAGAAAGATTTTTATAAACTTTGAAAATTAATTTATTATAAATATTATAATTATTAAATGATCGTATATATAAATTTAAAATTTTAATTAAATATTACCTATGAAATCGATGACAAAGGATCTGCAGAATTGATGCTTTCCACCGTAAAGCAGTTTCAGACAACGGAGCTCCTCCCTCAGCATATGTTTTAGTAACCTTATCAAAACGTTTCAACTTATCAAGAATCTCCTTAACTAATGTTTCTAATCTAAAATAATATTTAAATTGTGAGAAAACGAATGAACACGGTGATTTCAACTATATGACACTGTTACTTACGACCAAGGTGCACTATAAACTGTTTTATAGAGTACATCTAAAACATAAGGCGAAACACATGTAATTTTGTGTTCAGTTACATCTATGGGATATTTGGGGGCATTATCTCCATCAAGGCTCATCTTATATATAAGCTCTATAAGTCTATTATTAAACCAATTAATAAAGAGTATAAATTATTAATAATTGCAAATGAACGAATTGAAATAAATACTAATAATATACCTATGTTTGTTAGTGACATTAATTAAATCTAGTAATTTATATTCAATAATGCCACCCTTTAGAAATTTTGCATCTGGAAATCCAAGCTTTCCTGATTCAAGTCTACCAGGAACTAAACAGTTATATATAGTATCTGCTACAACATTTTTGCTTATTTGACTGGCAATAGAAATTTTTATCATTTCCTGGATGGTTAAATTTCTAAATATGTCATGCTTCATCACATTTGCTAGAACATAAGAAATTTCATAAATATTACATACAATATATTAAATTCAAGTGGACTTATAGTGCATACCTTTATATTTTTCAAATTCCTTTTTAATGTAATGGAATAGTGACGTGGTATAATGTAATGCGGCCCCAAGTTGTGGATGCCTGTATTTGATATTGGATGCTTCACGTATATTACCTTGTTGGGAAGTCACCTAATATAATCAATTATAATTAAATATAATTGTTAGTAAATTCCAATTATAATATGTAAATTGTGGATAACACTGAAAAAAAAATAAGTGGGCAGCTGGCTTATGCTGAGATATGGGGTTTCTATACATATTAATCCAATACTCCTTTGTTAACAACTCTAACTATGTTGTCAATATGTTGATTTGGTTTAGTTTGAAATTATGTAAACTAAAACCAACTTGGAGTATTAAATTCCAATATAATATCTGGGTTGGTTTCTAAAAGAGTAAACTGGTTTGAACAGTCTAACTAATGTATTTAAAACTCAATCCAGTATGGTTTGGGTTTAAATGTTATTCCAATTAATAACCCTAACTCTAACCCTAAACCCTAATTTATACCTAAGAAAAACTGCACTACAAAAAAAACTTTAAAATTTTATATTAAAATAGGACTTCTCAACTCGCGAGTTTTAGCTCAGCTGCCACAATAAGAATTACCGCGCATTGCAAAGCTAGGTCTCGTAAGAAAAATGAATCTCTGGATCTAATCTGTTGCTCATTGTATAACTGTATAAGCATTTTAAACAGCCTTTCGTCAGACTTCAAGTCTTCAGAAATCGCAGCTCCAACTTTATCCAAATCTAATTAGTACATTAATAAATTTTATCAAGAGAAATATAGCCAGTAAAATTTTAAAAATATACAATTATACATATATAGAGGATACAAAAAAGTTGAATCAGTAGCCAGATCAAAGTATTATCTTTTGGAACTGCTTTATGGTGTTCACCATGTTTAGGATGAACCATGTAGTAAAATTTTGAGAGAACATCCTCATATTTTAAATAACTATTTAAATCAATCAAATTGTGTTAATAAAAAATTAGATAACTGGTAGATTAAAATTAAATCAGATTAAAATGAAATTTTGTATAATGTATAGACAAGCAACCAAAAAATGCAAATTTTTGGGCGCATTTTTTTTTTTTTTAGGGCTAGGGTCAACTTTAGGTAGAATTTATAATGAACCGATGGATTTTAGTATTTAAATAGAAACCTCATATTTCATTTTAATCCAATTTCATGATCTGCGACAATAACTAATTGGCGAAAAAAACATACTCTGTTGCGACCAAACTAAATAATTGATCACCTAGTTCAATGATAAGCTGCCAAAATCCAAGATTTTCAGGGCTAAGCATATCTTCATTTGAATGTTGATCTATTACAAGAATACGGGTTAAACTATCGAAAAAGGATCTAATGGAACAAATAAATATGTTAGATATACCTATTCTGGGCTCTTCAAAGTTTGATTGAGATTGAATCAACTTAATAACGTTGTACACTTTATCAAAAAAAGCAGTACGCATGTGCTCTATTCCTTGAGTACTTGGTTTTATAGATTTTACCATAGCTTTGAACTCTTCAATAGACGCGCGTTGAAATAACAAGTCACGAAATCGCGAAGAAAATTTTGTAGCATGCCCTTCATCTATAAATTGTTCCTAATAACATAACAAAATAAATATAGTAATCAAGGAATGAAAGTTGTTTATGGCTAAAAATGATCATACGTAATCACAAGAAAATGGTTGATAAATAGGCAGATGGGTTATATCAATGTATTCATGAGGTCGACTATGAAAAGCAAAAATTTATATCAATTGATATGAAACAATAATGTAATTTTTAATCAAAATAGTATTAACACCATTATTAACCTGTATTGGGAAATTAATGGCCACGATGCGTCTGTAAATAGTTAATTAATAAAATAAGAATAATAGTGAATATTTCGCTAGATTATTATGATATTACAATTACCGGGTGGCATCATCAAAAATGCGAGACGTTTGCGACGTTGACATAACTCATTCACAAATTGCTCCATGGACCAATGAACATGGATAAAACGTCCAAGAACAGGTATTCCGTATATTATTTGCAGCTATAACGGATAATCCAAAACTGAATTTTAAACATCCATCATCAGACATACAATAAACTATATTACTCTTACCTGTTCAATGACCTGATAGTGTGAGACACAACCGGTACCTCCACAATCTTTACCAATTAATAAGGTTTCAATCATCTGGCGCCCTTTTTCAACGCATTTATACTTTTGTTTATCGAGAAATGATGGAAGTAAATCAATTTGTTGCAAAATATTTTTAATAATGTCAGTAGCTAGATCTGGGGGAATGTCCATCATTGCTCTAGGATTTTGTTGTAGAATAGTACGCATAAATGAAAGCACGCCCATCCACAATTCAGTACATGAAATATCAAGAAGTCTTGCAATGTCTTTGAAAATCTGTGGAATTGTGATATGCATAACAGGTTGGAGGGTAGAAGATTGTTGTGAAATATCACCACCAAGAGCCAATAACAGCCCAAATGTTGTTGGCGTGTCAGTGATTAGACCATTAAATATCGATAAAATAAGAGTTATACGCTCCCAAGTCGGAGGATCTATGGTGAGCAACGATATAATATAATTTACAAGCTCCCCCTGAATAAATTTAAATAGGAGATATAAATATTTATTTTACGCGATTGCCAATAACAATTCTCCGATTTATGATTTAAATAGATAAATACCGTGTTCCCAACTGCCAGCGAAGCTTTGAAAAACTCTTGAACTAGTTTAGTTATATCATCTGAAGTATCTAATACTAACTCAAAATCATCCTTTTTTTCACTAATTTTATCATTTTTAGATCGCTTTGACGGAGAATCAAAAATTCTAATTTCATGGTGTACAAAGTGAAAATATCAGCAGTTCGAAATGATCGTGATCTTGAGTTTTTGATATTTAATGGCAAAGAAAAATAATAACAAATAATAATAATAATAATAATAATAATAATAATAATAATAATAATAATGTACCCGGCAAATGTCACTTCTGAGGATTGAGATTGAAATAAATCCTTTATGCCACAATATTTCAGAAAAAAGTAAATTATGTGAATTTCAAAAGTTTAAAAGTTTCAAAGTATTTATAGATCAGGTTATAAGAACCAAACGATCTTTGTAAGAAATACCTGCTCAGAATTTTCACGAGATTGTAAAGCGTTTAGGAGTGATGTTTTAAACTCTGTCGCGAGATCTGTATTTATACTCATTATAAAAAGTGAAATGCTATAAAATTGAAATTGTTTTTTTTTGTATGAAAGGACACCTGAACTGCGCCTTAAAATTAACCAATAACATTATAGGAGTAAAAAAGTTACGTAATAAAAACTTTAATGTGGTCCGAGATTTATTCTGAAATTACACACATAAAATACATGAAATATCTTTAACAATACTAAAAACAAAATGGTGAGTAAAGAAATATGTAGATAATTTCTCGCAATAATTACTTATTTCTTTAATAACCTTTTCCTCATTTTGACAACCAGCCTCCAAAAAAAACCAAACGTAATAGTACCGCAGCGGGCGGTACCGCTAAGGGTAGCAATAAGAGTTCGGGAAAGAAAATTGAAAAAGCCGATTGGAAAGAAAAATTTAACAAAAAACAAGTTGGGGTCTCCGACATGACCATGTTGAGCAAAGTTAATAATGATGCGATTAACGAAAATTTGAAGAAAAGATTCGAAAATCATGAGATTTATGTGCGTAAATCTAGATTCGACACTTGATAATTAATCTTTTTTGTAATCGTTAGTCGTTAAATAACCTAATTTTTTTTTTTTTTCTTTTAATTAAGACATATATTGGACATGTGCTTATTAGTGTTAACCCATTCAAGGATTTGGGTATTTATACAGATCAAATATTGAAAAGCTATATGGGAAAAAACTTGCTCGAAGTATTATTTAGAATTTTTCTTAGATATACAATTTCTATCCCCTTTACTATTCACCATTCATTAGCAATTAATATATTTTATTCCATAGATGCCGCCCCATGTGTATGCAATTGCTGAATCAGCTTATTACAACATGAATAGTTATAAAGAAAATCAGTGTATAATTATCAGGTATTAATTGATCTGCTTAAAAAACTTTGGATATTTCTTGTAATTTAGTATTTTTCAAATTTCTGTTAATAGTGGCGAATCTGGTGCCGGAAAAACTGGTGTGTAACCTTATTTATATATATATTGCTAATTCATTTTCGCAAATAATCATCATTTTTATCATATACATAGAGGCCGCCAAAAGAGTATGTGTATTTTCTAGTATCTTCATCTTGATCAAGTATTTTAAAAATATACTCGTTTAATCATGTAATCCAATCCGTATTAGATTATGCAATATATTGCAACCGTAAGCGGTGGTGCATCATCTCAAATTAAAGAGATTAAAGACATGGTCTTGGCCACAAATCCTTTATTGGAAAGTTTTGGCTGTGCTAAAACTCTTCGCAATAATAATTCAAGTCGGCATGTTTGTATATAATTTATTCATTTATAGAGGTGGTTTTCGTATAAAAAAATTTGTATAAATATATATTGTATTTTCAGGGGAAATATTTGGAAATTCAATTTAATTCCGTAGGAGAACCCGTCGGCGCTGTTATTACCAATTATTTATTAGAAAAGGTAAAATTATAACTTATTATTTACTTCCTATTTTATGCTACTCTTAAAAATTATATATTTAGATATTTGGATATTGTTTTTAAAATAGGGGCGTGTTGTTGGACAAATTGAGAACGAGCGTAATTTTCATATTTTTTATCAATTTACTAAGGCAGCAGCTTCTACTGAATACCAAGGTTTGTTTAATTAAATAAATATTGAACATAATATATTATTATTATTATTATTATTATTATTATTATTATTATTATTTTATTCATAATGCTTTGTTAAATTGCAGAACAATTCGGAATACAAGGTCCTGAAAGTTATTTGTATACTTGTAAAAGCGGATGCTTGGATGTTGATGGCATTGACGATACTAAGGATTATTCTGAAACAATAGTAAGTAGTATCATACGTTTATTGATTAATTAAGAAACATTGTAATGATCATACATTATTTTTGTTTGCATTTTTCTACGTACGAAAATCTAGGAAGCGATGAATATTATTGGCCTGACACAAAGTGAACAAGATGATATCTTTCGAATGTTGGCAATTATTTTATGGCTGGGAAATGTACAGTTTGAAGAAGGTAATGATGGGAACGCTGTCATTAGCGATGAAGATGTTACAACTTTTATAGCATATATCATGGAAGTTGATAGTGAAATTCTTGCTAAAGTATATATACTTTGTACCTTGTATAATTACATTGATTTTGGGCCAAATATTTATTTGTTTTTGTTCTATTATATTAATAGGCATTGACTAATCGCACCATTGAAGCATCCCGTGGCGGACGTCGGGGTTCGGTATATGATGTTCCTTTGAATACAGTACAGGTTTGCTAAATAATCATAAATTCTCGTATAACTTTTTGTATTTGTTAGTTCGTAATAAATTAGTTTGTTTTTCTCTTTAAAGGCATCTGCTGTGCGTGACGCCCTCGCAAAAGCAATATACAATAATTTGTTCGAGTGGATTGTGGAGCGTATCAATTCTGCTCTACGATCCCGTACTACAGCATCCTACGTTATAGGAGTACTAGATATTTACGGTTTTGAAATCTTTGAAGAAAACAGCTTTGAGCAACTATGCATTAATTATGTTAATGAGAAACTCCAACAGATTTTTATTGAACTTACTCTTAAGACTGAACAAGAAGAGTATGTTAAAGAAAAAATTAAGTGGACTCCTATTGAATTTTTTGATAACAAAATTGTATGTGATCTAATTGAGGGGAAACGTCCACCTGGTATATTCGCAGCATTGAACGACGCTTGTGCTACTGCGCATGCTGATTCTGAGGCTGCTGATAACTCATTTGTTCAAAGATTGGGTTTCCTGAGTTCAAATCCACACTTTGAATCTAGAGGTAGCAAGTTTTTGGTGAAACATTATGCTGGTGATGTTTTGTATACAATAGCAGGTATGACTGATAAAAATAAAGACCAGTTGGTAAAAGATTTGTTAGAATTGATCGAAAGCAGCGGAAATAAATTTGTGGGGCGACTGTTTCCAAATAAAGTTGATCGTGACAATAAAAAGAGACCACCTACCATTGGTGATAAAATTAAGGTAATTCAATATAATATAACTTGAGATGCCTATCGACATTATTTTTATTGTGATATTAATATATTATCTTTTGTTATAGTCATCAGCAAATGCTTTAGTTACTAATTTAATGCAAGCTCGTCCATCATATATTCGAACTATAAAACCAAATCAAAATAAAAGTCCATCAGAATATGATCAAAAAATGGTACTGCACCAAATCAAATATCTCGGGCTTAACGAAAATATTCGAGTAAGAAGAGCTGGATTCGCTTATCGACAAACCTTTGAAAAATTTTTGGAAAGGTAATGAAAGTTGGTCAAGAATTTGTGGACGTATTATACACTTATTATACTCTGATTCTAATAAGATAATTAACTAATTGCTTGAGAATAGGTTCTACTTATTATCAAAGAAGACATCGTATGCTGGTGAATATATTTGGCAAGGTGATCCGAAAGCTGGAGCAGAACGAGTTTTAAAAGATTGCGGAATTGTTGCTGAAGAATGGCAAATGGGTGTCACCAAAGTTTTCATTAGACATCCTGAAACGGTGTGATTCTGTAAATTTACAAATCTTTTGTTATTAACTATATCTATCAAACATTATAACCAATTTATTTGTAGATTTGGGCACTTGAACACCTTAGAGATCGATATTGGCATAACATGGCATTAAGAATTCAACGTGCCTATCGCAACTATGTTCGTTATAAAAATGAATGTGCAACACGTATACAACGATGCTGGAAAAAGAATAAGGATCAAATCATATACGTCCAGCTACGTGATTATGGTCATCAAATATTAGATGGAAGGAAGGAAAGACGAAGGTTTAGTCTGTTAAGCATGCGAAAATTTATGGGTGATTATTTATTTGTCAATATACCTGGAGGCAGTGGCGAAGCATTAAGAAATGCCTGCGATATTGGAGGTATGTTCAAACTGAGCTTATTATGATTTACCCACAATTAATTGGTTTATTTATTGAAATTGTAATATTTTATATCTTAGCTAATGAAACTGTGGCTTTCAGTAGTAAGATTCAACTTCTTGTTGCTCGTTTTGGTCGAGCCAGTAAACCAGGTCCAAGAATGTTAATTATGGTATTTATTTACAATTTGTTTATATTATTTTCAGGAAAATTTAAATATTTGATAATTATTATTATTTTTTTATTAGACAAACAAAGCTATATATATTGTTATTTCAACACTTGAAAAAAAGCTATTGACAATGAATGTTGAAAGAAAAATTCTTCTTGGTACAATTAAGAGTGCCAGTTTATCACATTTACGAGATGATTGGGTGGTGTTGCATATTAATAATCCGACAAAAGAATTAGGAGATTTGATATTTTCATGCATTTTCAAAACTGAATTTGTAACGCACTTATCACAACTTAAAGGGACACAATTTGATGTTAACATTTCAGAATCAATTGAATATACTAAGAAGATTAACAAAACAGCTACTATGAAATTTATTAAAGACGAAAATTTCAAGGATGACGTATATAGAAGTCATACGGTGTCTGTCTGCTCTGGAGAGCCACCAAATAGTTTATCAGATCCCCCTTG